CCCCGGGGCAGTGCCACTGACTGTAGTGTCTTTAGGCCATTCCCAAAGTGGCGACACTTCTCGTTCAAGCACGGTAGAATTATAAATAGGCTGATTCATCATGTCACGCTCATAACTGTGCCTGATCTGCAACAGGGAACTGCTGCTTTTTCTTTCCTAATCCTTACTATTGTCATTTTCCTCTACTTCTTTTGTATGTTTGTCACACTCTTGTGACCTGCTATTTCCGGGGTGCCTTGATAGTCGAAGCAGACCGTGTGCTGTTGAAGCTAGAGAGGTGAGCAGAGTAAGTCTGATTCCCTGTAAGGACTTCTCTGTTGACACCCACTTCTTGGCGCTCATATGACGTTATGCAGTTGCGAGCGCCGTAAAACCCTCTACTAAAACTAAAAGTGTGTGAAACTTAATGAGATGACGTGCACAGTGGCTCTTCTTTATTACATAATCTAGTTGTGTAAGGGTATGCTACTAGAAATTATAATTAATGAATAGTTGGCAGGTGTTTTCTTGCATTAAACAACAGCTATCATGTCAGTGGGCACAACATGGCTGACAGGACAATGAATAAATTATTTTGAAAAGTGACATTCTTTTTGTGTTTACGACGTAGTCTGAAGAATCACAAAATAGTTTTCTCCTTATATCCTATCAAACATATTCTGTCCTCATTTCTACTTCTTTTTTGTGTATGTTACTCTCTTGTAACGCATCTATTCTTCAGCACTTATATGACCTTATTGGTTTGTAAATGCCGTAAAATTATTACTAAAACTATATACTAAAAATGGTTATTTCAGAATAATTGGGACCTTTTCATTTTTCTTGGGCATCCCTGTTTATTGTATGCCTGTGCAGTTTGTAAAGTTGATTTTCATAATTAATCAGACATTTGACTTTTTGAGATGGTTGATCTCAGAATTGGTCTTTTCGTTCAGGACGCTGGTGATACCCTCCTCTTTGGCTTGAACAAGAACAAGTAAACTCTTTTCTTGTTTCTTTTACCTTTACTATGCTTTGTAGCCAGCGCTTTTTTCATCATTATTTTTTTGGGGTCTGATGTTCTAGTAATACAGGTCAGCTAGCGTGGCTTAAAAGATGTAATTTTTTACTCTCTTTGTCCGTTACCAAAGCTGAATTAATTTATGATTTGCCCTCTGAACCCTCCACAGACAAAGCAAATCGAGCGTCTTTTGAGAATCTCCAGAAGAGCATCTTCGTCGTCTGTCTGGATGGGGCGTATGTGCCGGAGGAGGGCATCTCCGAGACAGACACCGGGGCAGCGGCCATGTTGCACGGTCTGGGGAGCAATAACTTTTCAGGGAACAGGTGGTTTGACAAGACACTTCAGGTCAGTGCACAACTGCTGCTCATCTTGTGTTAATAGATGCTAATATGTTTTCTTTTTACGGCTGTCCTTTCGTGTATATAATTAATGTATGGTTGTGAAAGTTCTGCTTTATGTGGTTGAACTGGTTTTTCTTGTTTTGTGAAATATTTTCTCTTGTGTTCAATCATCATGTGATTGGTGAAAATCGCTCAGAGCTTATAATAGTATGGGATAGAGCGATATATAAGTGCAATCTGTTATTACTATTACTATTATTATTATTATTATTATTAGTAGTAGTAGTAGTAGTAGTAGTAGTAGTAGTAGTAGTAGTAGTAGTAGTATTATCAGTGGAGAACTGACAGAGAATCTTTGTTTATCTGTTTGTGAGTGGGTTGTGTTGGGAGCGCCATTGATAGATATTATTTCTTGCACTTTCCCCCTGTTGTAACGGATGGTTGGAGGGTGCCACTTGTAGGTCCTATTTCTTTACTTTCCTTCTGTTGTTTCTGTCTATCTGTCTTACTTTTTCCCAGCACTAAATGGACATTATTGTGTCGTTGTGCTTCTCTTTACTCAAACAAACAAACGTATCCCTGTTGTTACTTACTTCTTTCCCCTATTCAAATTGACAGTTGTCATTTCTAAGTGCCTGTCTCTATCCCAAATCGTCGTCGTTTGTAAGGTCATGTCTGTTTTATGGTTGTCTTGCTTTGAATTGGTAGCATCAACAACAATAATGAAAATTAGGGAAAATACATTCAGAATGATAAGAAGAAAACAATGATAAGAGCATAAGAACTACAGTGAAGACATTCAAAACAGTGACAAGAAGTAGACTGCAACAACAACAAAAACAATGACGACAACAACAGCAACGATTGGCTACCTCAGAATTGCATGCAAAGTTCTATCTGCTCAGTGCCTAGTTTTGAAAACTTTGACGGAGAAGATTTTGAGTGTCACTTGTCAAGCTTTTTCGGATGCAATTTTTTAAATATCTTTATAACGACTCCAAATAATCTTTCGATTTTAATAGAACTGATAGAACATTTGGATTTTTGAGCTCATGGTCTCTGTTACTCAAAGCGTCTTAAATAAATGTCAGATAGAACTTTGGTCATTCTATGGCAGAGAATTTTATCTGAGCTAACGAGCAGATGTTTGAGAGCAGCTGAATCAGTGTTGCTGTTATGTTACGACTTACTTGAGTCTTGGAGTAGTAGATCTAGATGATAGTTGATGTTGGTGGGGCCCCACCTGCTTGTCGTCTGCTAGTTCTTCGTTAGCCGATGTTGCTCGCTTCGGCCTCAGTGAGAGAGTGACCTTCAGATTTCCCGCAGCTTGCACGATGTCACAGTCACGTGATACGTCCCTTAGGCCTACGTCACAATAATTATTATTAAGGTGTGTTCACGCTAAATGTCCTTTTATTCTTAATTTGTGTTTACACCACAGTTAGTGGGTGGTTGGCGGGTGCTCTGGTTGGGTTTGCTCCTTCTTTCCTATCAAACATCTATCGTCCTTATCTCCCCTTCTTTTTTATGGTTGTTACTCTCTTGTAACACCTCTAATCTTCTGGCGCTTATATGACCTTATGCAGTTGCGAGTGCCGTAAAACTCTTACTAAAACTAAACTAACACCACAGTTGCTGTTGTTTCATTTTTGCTCCTCTCTGTTCTCCATGAAAGTCAGTACTGTTCAGATGGACCATGTCCGTTTATTGCCGTCCTCATGAGACGATTGGAGGATACATCGGTGTTGTTTGCCCATTCTACTTCCTTTTACTTTTACCTGGATCGATAACAACAACAACGTCACAAATTTCTCTTCTACTGTTGTCCTACTCTTGTGGATGGTTGACTGTTGCTACAGACAGGTTCTCCTTGTGGGTGGTTGGCGGGTGCTCTGGTGTGGTTTGCTTCTTTTTTCCTATCAAGCATCTATCGTCGTTATCTGCCCTTCTTCTTTTTTATGTTTGTTACTCTCTTGTAACACCTCTAATCTTCTGGTGCTCATATGACCTTATGCAGTTGCGAGCGCCGTAAAACCTCTACCGAAAAAAAAAAGGTTCTCCTTCTTTTCTTTCATCTCTCTTGTTTCTGTCTGTCTATCTTGTTTTTTTCCCATTGTTCTAAATGGCTGTTGTTGTGACTCTGCACTTCCCTCCTTCAAACAAAATACAATAAAACTTGTCGAAGATGACCGCCCGTTGTCAAGGAGGAAAATGGTCGTCTGAGATGAGTGGTCCTCTTGGGCCGTGTCATTATAATACAGAAAAAAAATAAGGGGGCCAATGGGGTGTGGTTATTTGGACAGGTGGTGGTTAGAGCTGGTTCGACTGCACCTAATCATCTGTGGGGTTAGATAATAAATAAATAATAAAATAAATAATAAATTACACTTTTATTTGTCCTAGAAGGGCACTTTGTTTTACAATGGCAAATATACATACATAAATGCATAATTATAAATACGTACATACATAAATACATACATGCATAAATACAAACATAGATACACTTTATTACACAAATACAGAACAGTTTACAAACAATGCCATTGTCGGTCGCCACGGTGCAGCGCCCTGTATTTTGAGCTAGATGTTATTGTCTGGGAATTAACTCACATTAGACGTCTACTCACTGCAACATTTTGTCCTCAGTTTATTTTTAACCCTGATGGTCACTTTGGCTTGAACTATGAGCACACATCTGCTGAAGGGCCAGCCCTGATAAGCTTCAGTGACCACGCCCTGGCATATGTGTGAGTCTATGGATGTGTTTATTTGTGTGGCATCTATGTTTAACTCACTTGAGCCTATTCCCATGCATTTACGGGACATGCCGCCGGCCCAGTGGCCGAATCCCGTGTATTTACAGAATGCACTTTATCCATCGATATCTCCGGTGGTTTTCCGTTACAATCTATGGGAAGTGGGGAGCCAACAGTTGACCCCAAAATGGTCAGACTGCAATGGTTTTTGGGGGTGAAAAATAGCTCAGGCTCAAGTGAGTTAATATCGTTGTGTAGCTTTGTGTGCTTTCTGGTCTAAGGCGGCTCAAATGATCGACTTTTTGATATATTCAAAAATATTTTATTCTGTTAGCATTAATTTGTGAGTTTAGCGGCTAGCTTGAAAGATGGTTGGATGGTGCCACTGGTAGGACCATTTCCTTTTTGGCGCTGTGTAGTTTCTTTCTATCTTGCTTTTTTCTTGCACTAAACAACAGCTAATGTGCTCATGCGCTTCTCTTTTCTCAAAACTCAAAGAGACAAACAAATATGGCTGACTAGACAATGAATAAATTATTTTGAAAAGTGAAACCTTTTTGTATACTAAATAGATAGTCTGAAGAATCACAGAATGGTTGTATTGGAAACCTTAGAAAGGCTTCAAGAAATGAACCCCTTAACGTCGTATATAAAAATTTACGTCGGCTTGTATCCTTTCGAGTGGTGCGGAGCGCATATGAATATAATGATATAGTATAATGAAGAGGGGGGGGGGGTGCTCACATACAGGTACCCTCCACACGTCATGAGCAATGCCAGGTCAGTTTTGTAAAATTTTTAGTTCTAATTGACCATGAATTTAATTTCAAGTGTTTTAATGACGAAATTGAAAAAGTGGGGACATCATGGAAACAGATAGAAAAGGATGCTCAGGACAGGCTTCGCTGGAGAAATGTTGTTGATGGCCTGTGCTCCACTGGGAGTTGAAAAGGGCAAGAGAGAAGAGAGAGTTTTGATGACACTTTGAAACTGTTTATTAATTGTCTTAAACTGCTTTTTAAAAGTTGTACCTTGCGTAGTAACGGTTTTGTCAAAAGTTTCGGAGACAGACAACTCAATATTTTTATGGAGTAGAGCTCGATTCAGATCTCAGAGAAACTTTAAATCTATTTTTTCAAAACTTCGTTTCTGCATCCTGCCTGATAACATTAACCAGATCTCACTAAGTACTGAAGAAATTATCTTTAAAATGTCTTAAAAGCAAGTTGTTCAGAAATTACTTTTGTACCATAAAATGCAATAAAACGCAATTCTTCAAAATGGGTTTTATACCTTTCACCAGCATGCACACAGATATTACACTCCTTACTTTGGGTGTGGCCCTTCTTCCTTAAAAGGATGTACTAAATGACTGTTGTCATGGAATTTACAATATGTGAGGCAGCGTGGTGGAACCTGGCTCTCGTCAATTTTTGGGCATGTAGAGTTATTGGTATCATCTTAAAGCTTGTTCATTTGTCTTTATTTGAATGAAAAAAATATCCATTTATCTTGAATACTAGTCGAGATATTTGCGAAAGAAAGAGGTGGGGGTCACCTATTTTCAGAGGTAAAATTAATAAGAAAATGGCCGCCAAAGATTAGTTATTTCCTTAGCTTAGGAGCCCATGGTAATTGAAAATTTACATTTTTTGTACCTTTAATCAACGTTTTTTTTAGAAAAATCCCCACTGAAATGAGTTCTTTAATGGGGATGAAAGGTATTGAGCCCAAAAAACAAAAATTTGATAAATATTCACAAACCGGCGGAAAAATGCAAGTTTCTTCACTTTGATTATTTTGACGAGCGCCTGATTCCACCGCGCTGCCTCACATATGGCCAAAACATATACCCCAAAAAGCAAAAATAAAACAAACAAAAATCATATATTGAAAGGGAAGGGACTGAAGGAAAAAATAAGTTTCAGTGGTGAAGGGGGAAAGAACAAGAAGACAGTTCATAGTGTGTAAGCCTCAGGGAGATCTGTTCCTCTTGTTGTAGTTGTGTTACAAGCATGCGTGTGGGAGGGAGAGAAAAGGGTGTATTCTTAAGTTGGTCCAAATGAGGATTCATGGACATTTTGACGTCAGTCTTTTCTTCATGTAAATTTTAACTTTCTGTCTGCTAGTTATTGGACCTTGTGGTAGTCAAACACAGCCTGATAAATTAAAAAAATAATTTTTCAGTGCTTTTTGGGCCAGCTTACTAATCTTTTGATACGTATTGCCTTTTAAGCCGTATACAGATCTACTTTGACAATTACGTTATAAAAAATTGTTTCCATCAGATCTTCTTTGAATAAAATCTTAATAAACATAGGACCCAACTTAATATTGTTACTGTCTCTCCAGAGAACGTGACATTGATCCCAGGGTGGGTGCCACTGATGTGCCGCCTCCAAAGAGACTGACCTTCAACTTTGGCGACAAAACTCGGTTGGTCATCAACCGAGGCATGGAGGAAGTTGATTCGTAAGTCTTCTCCTATCTGGTATCATGAACCTACTGTCCTTTACTCGACTGTCAGAAAACAATAACTTCTCCAATTTTGCGCCGATGTGCACCAAATTTGAGAGGTATCGTGTTTGATCATCTGAAAGCCATAATCAGTGCTCAAATTTTAATTGATCAGACGCGCACTGATGCGTCAGCCATGTCTTGGAGGAACCCAGAAAAGGCCTCTTGCGTTACAAAATATGCTGAATGCAAGTCCGCAAAGAATCTTTCAGCCTGTTATTGCGGGGAGCAGAAGTTGACTCCAGATGTAAATCTAGTGCACCTTCTGAAAGAGCTATTTGACTCCTCAAAGTGTGAGAATTTAATTTAAAAATTTTTTTTATTAGACATGTCAGAAAGAGCCTGCTTTCTGGTCTGTTTCTGTTTTGGGTGGTCGGAGAGCATGACTTGTAAGTCCTACCTCTTTTCCAACTGTCTGTTTTTGTGCTTATCCTTTCTTACTTTTTATTTCACTATAGGACTCTAAAATAAGATGAGTTTTTGTACTCTAATGTAAATAGGTTGTGCTTATATTTTCCACAGTACACTCACTTTCTCTCTCTCTCTCTCTCTCTCTCTCTCTCTCTCTCTCTCTCTCTCTCTCTCTCTCTCTCTCTCTCTCTCTCTCTCTCTCTCTCTCTCTCTCTCTGTCTTTCTCTCTGTCAGTCTTTCTCTCTCTCTCTCTTTCTGTCTTTCTCTCTCTCTCTCTCTGTCTCTCTCACTCACTCTGTCTCTCTCACTCACTCTGTCTCACTCTTTCTCACATTCCTTTTCCCCCCCCCCCCCCCCCCACCCAATATTTATTTTCATTTCTATATCATATTCTACTCCCACACATGCACACACATGCACACACATGCACATACCTACACACTCATACCCATGCAAACCCACACACTATTCTCGCTTAAACTGTTAAAATGCCTTTTTTCAATGTTGACGCCAATTTTTATTATTTGCTAAATCGGTAGCTTGATCATTTATCCTACTTGTGTGAAAAAATCAAAGTGAAACTGGGACAAGTTTTTGAATTAATTAGAATTCAAATGTGTCACGACGCGGTGGAATCAAGCACTCGTCAGTTTTTGGGTAAATAGAGTTATTGGTATTATCTTAAAGATTGTTCATTTGCCTTGCATTTGATGAAAAAAATAACAATTTATCAATGATAGTAGTCGAGATACATGCCTTTGAAAGAGATGGGGTCGCCTGGTTTCAGAAGTAAAATTAACGAGAAAATGGTCACGAAGTTTGGTGAATTCCATAGCTCAAGAGTCCTAGGAAACTGCAAATTTACATTTTTCTTGCCTTAAATCTACCTTTTTCCATTAAATCCACACCTAGGAATGTTTTTGAACAGACATACAAGGTGCTGAGCCAAAAAACAAACATTCCGAAAAAAAAATTTCAAACTGATCGGAAAATGTCGATTTTTTTCTATTTAATTATTTTGACGAGTGCCTGATTTCCCCACGATGCCTCGCAAATTTAGAAAGAATGCCTTTTATAAATAGTTACTCGGACAAAACAACTTTATATCTCGAAACTCCCCTGAGTAAGAAACAGGCGTTCTGTCAGTGTACAGCAGTATTTTAGTTATATATTTTTTTTCTGTTATTTCTCTGAGCATAATCACTTCATTTCTCATAACAGTACAGGTAGAAACATTATTAATTGCTATATATAGTATTGGGGGACGTTGACCTAGATGGCCCAAAACCAACAGAGCTGGAGATCCTTTGTTGCTGCCCTAAACGCCAGATGGCGTAACGGGTAGTAAGTAAGTAAGTATTGAGAACATGATTTTGATTTCTCTTGTGTGGTTCCCAGTCTGGTGGATGATGTGATGCTGCGCACCATGTGGTTCAAGGACTACGGCAAGAAGTTCATCAAGCAGCAGAAACTGAGCCCTGACGCCTTCATGCAGCAGGCATTCCAGTTGGCTTACTTCAAGTGAGACTTTGGATGACCTGTCTCGCACAGGCCCACACAGACCCACATACTCACACACGCTCACATTTTAGCATATGCACACAACTGCTTACATACAAACACTTAGTCTCTCACACATACACGCTCACGCACACACACACACGCAAGCACACACACACACTAGTGCACACCATTTCTCTCCAGACAAGCTTGAGTTTTGACTAAAGTTGTGGCAAATTTGTTAGTTGATTCTTTGGACCTCATGTTCAACTTTGAGTTTCAACTGTTGTGTAGTTTGTGGATTGTTTCTGTAGACTTTTTAAATACACTTTCTATGGCAATATCAGTTTTAAATAAATGTATCCTTTAAATCATACATTTTTAAGAGCTCCTCTCTTTACTCAAACAACCGAACCACCCCCAGGATGTACGGACAGCCGTGCGCCACGTACGAGTCTGGGTCCCTCCGGCGTTTCCAGCAGGGGCGCACGGAGACGATTCGCTCATGCTCAGTGGCCTCCCTTGCCTTCACCACCGCCATGGAAGATGAGGCCGTGCCCGTAAACAAGAAGGCGGAACTTTTGCGAAAGGCTGTACAAGCACACAGGAAGTACACGGATGAGGTGGGTTTGTTGATGGGTTGTTGGTAGCAGACTCTCTGCTATGTTGTTTGCACTCCCTCTGTGTTTGTTTTTGTTGCCAGTGCTGTAAAACTCTTACTAAAACTAAAAACACTTTATCTTTGTTTAAAAAATGTCCTTGAGCCAGCCATGCCCATAACGATCTGAGCTGTGCCTATAGGGGTGTAAAACATTTACAATTATTTACAATGAAATTGAAGGTGTTTTAGGTATGACTTGTAAGAATGCCAGTGCTGCAGTTTATTTAAAAATGAGAAGGAAACTAGAGTTAATCAGAGACAATGTATCTTTTTGCCTGACCCTTTGTGTAAGAGGAAGAGG